CTTATTTATTATTTATATACTTACATCTCGTGATCTTAAATAACTACATTCTATTTCACCATTAACGCTAGAACATTCATTCATTCATTCATTACAACCTCCTTTCAAAGTCCACTGCAGAATATAGGCCTCCCCATATAATATCCCATAGTTTTATACAACCATAGCTATTGCCATAGTAGCTACGCATTTTTTCTAGTGGTTATTAGAAAGACGCGGCTGTCCATGTTCTGTTTAGCACTTATTACAAATTTTTTAACCGAATACCAAAGCTAACATACATATTAAATAAGTGTAGAGGATACATAAGTAATAATTAAACTTTCCTTAAGAAAGTTGTCACGTTGCAACGCCATGCGTACGTCATACCATATAGATTATATCATATCATCATAGGTTGAAATTGTGACGGCGCGTAAATATTACTCATAAATCAGAATTAAATTCACTACAAAGTCATTTAAAATATCATAGATATAATATTTTGAACAATTAAAATGCGTTAAAAAGCATAAAGTTCAAATACATTAATTTCGAATATTAAGAATTATAGCATAGTAAAAACAGTAGTATTGTCTTTAAAAACCTTTAAATTTATTAAAACTCTACTTAAAATATTCAAAATGTATTCAGCAATAGAAATACAAGTCGATTATATTACAAAAATAAAGATTTAGAACATTTTACACGTGGTAGAGCCATGCTGCAGCTATATTAATAGTATAGTTGTAGCACGAATGGGTCGGCTCGACCGGGGAAGAACCACGTTCTCACAGAATACCAGCGTAAAATAGCAGCTTAATGCTTCTGTGCTTCGTATGGTGAGTGTAGAGAATCGGAGACCATTTTTACTGGAAAAGAGGCATTCCATCTTAGTCCCCACGTGTGACAACGCATCTGCATTTTGATTCGCAAACGAGGATAGATGTAGATGTCTATGGGCCGCAGCAACCACTTACCATAAGGTGGACTGTGTGCTCGTTTGTCATCTTTATTCTATAAAAAAAAATTAAAATGGGTCAAAAGTTTTCTAAATTAATGAGTGTTGTTGTTCTTGTAATGATGCAGTGTTTTCTTGTATTACTGGAGGGTGTTATGCATACCCAAGGTCGTACATATATATATAATGGGTGGTCGGATGCCTGACTACTATAGTACCGTTGCACAATGTATAGTCCTATGTTAGGGACTTGTGATAGTAAGGTCTATGATACAAAATCATAAGTGTATCCCTTAGATGCATAAGCATTATGATAGCAGAGTAATGAGTTGAAGTCCCATATATAAAATACATAATAGTAAGCTCTATGAAATAAAACAAATATGTGGAAGATCTTAAATATGTTATAGCATTATATTGCTAGAAATAGAACTTGAAAAGGACTTAAAAAACAAATATTTCTTATCTTATAAGGTATCAGACAAAAGTTATCAATGGGTATTCCAAAAATATATCCTTTGTACTCTTATATTATATTTTAGTCTAGACCACAGTCTTCAACTAATTAGATATTTAATAATAATTTATTGTTTTCAAAAGTTGTACACAAATCTTTACATTTATATTTCTTTTATATAGTATATTAAATAAAATAGAAAATATCATAGAAAGCGCCTTTTAATAAAACTTGTGAAGTCAACTCTTTGTAACTTCAATATTCGACTTGTTTGATGCTTGTTTATTTTTTAACCGTTTGTTTCATTTGTAACGTAAAAGGTTATTGTTGATTATTGTTATTTTTAAAGGTTATTCATTTATTTAACTAGCTATGCTGCATTAATATTATAGTTGTATTAGGAATAGGTCGGCTCGACCGGGGTAGGACCATGCTCTCACAGAATACCAGCGTAAAATGTTGATGTGTTTCGTATGGCAAGCGTAGAGTGCCTTAGACCCATTTTACTGGAAACGAGGCATTCCATTTTACTCCTAAGGAGTAACAACGCCATGCCATATAGGCATATCTACATTTATTCTCGACTAAGAATCAAAATCCACTTACCACCATGTGGACTGTGTACTCGTTGGTCACCCATAACTTATTCTATATTTAACTACAGCTTCTGAACAGGGTTTTTTTTTTTGTATAAGTGAAGTTTTTTTTTGGGGCAAACGAGCATGCGGCTCACCTGATGGTAAGTGACTACCGCCGCCCATGAACAACTGCAACACCAGGGAGGGAATTGCATATGCGTTGCCGGCCTTTTAAAAAGGAGTACGCTCTTTTCTTGAAGATCCCTAAGTCGTATCGGTCCGGAAAAATCGCTGATGGTAATCGATTCCACAAGTAAGTCGTGCGAGGAAGAAAACATCTTCTAAATCGCACAGTGGTGGACCGCCAATCATCCAGATGGTGTGGATGGTATCGGGAGTTCTGCCGCGATGTGCGTTCGTGAAATTTGGCGGCTGGGATTAATCCGAACAATTCCTCAGAGAACTCCCCATGGTAGATGCGAAAGAAAATGCAAAGGGATGCAACATCTCTTCGCAGTGCCAATGACTCGAGCCGATCGGAAAGGGCTCGGTCGTCGACGTTTCGAGCCGCTCTGCGCTGGATGCGGTCAAGTGGAAGGAGTGGGGAGCCCCTGCCTTTTATTTAATACTATTGTGAAACGGTTTTACTGGCTAAGCACTATCAAACACAAATAATTATCTATTGTTGTATGCTTGTATGTAGTCAAGGCGTAAATAATGTTCTTAGAGCTAGACTGTTATCGTAATTTATAGCCATTTTTTGTCTCTAAAATATCTTGAGTCTGTGTCTCGAAGATTTACTATACGAGTATATTCATTTCACTGTTAAAAATTGAATTCAAAATTTAACAATATAACATTGTTTAAATAATCAAAACGTTTGATATATGTTTAATTATGATAAGGTGCTTTGTATTATATCAGGAAAACTTTACAACGTGGCAGAGCCCTGCTGCAGCAATATTATATTTGTATCACAAATGAGTCAGTTTATCCGAGGAAAGACCATGCTCTCACAGAATGTAACTTTATATTGCTGTGCATCGTATTGTGAGTGTAAAGAACAGAAGACCCTTTTCACTGGAAACGAAGCATTCTTATGATTTTACTCTTCAGGGATGACAACGCATCTGCACTTTGATTCATAGTCAAATAATCTAGTTGGACGTTTGTAGGGTGACCCTTTCCTGTTTCGCTCTGTCGATTCTTACGACACCCGCGCGATGATATGGGTTATGGGATTCTTTTATAGAGGCACCATAGGGCAAGTAGCTTCCTTTTTATGACAAGTTAATAAGAAATACAATAATAAACATCTTAATATTATTAAAAGTCTGCGGGTGCAGGGTTAGCGTGGCTGATATGCCAAATCCCCGCTATGAGGCAATCTGTGAGAGACGCCTGTATTCGGCAGTGAACTTATCTACTTGGGCTGTTATGAATGTGTTAGTGCGTTGAACTGTTGAAAGGTAGATTTTGATGAAAGATACATAGTTTATTTGTGAGTATTTTGAATTACTGCACATTAGTTTTGATTACACTAACGCTGTACGTTGACCAGTGAGTAATCTCCGCTTTCCATCAATGGTCAAAATTTTCTAACCATTCACGATAATTGTTACCTGAATATACATTTATGCCGCACTCTGTACAATTTTTACGTGGAAGAGCCATGCTGCAGCTATATTAGTAGTATAGTTGTAGCACGAATGGGTCGGCTTGACCGGGGAAGGACCACCTCTCACAGAATATACTGGAAAAGAGGCATTTCATCGTATTCCTCACGTGTGACAACGCATCTGCATTTTGATTCGCAAACGAGGATAAATGTAGATGTCTATGGGTCACAGCAACCACTTACCATCAGGTGGACTGTGTGCCTGTTTGTCAGCCCAACTCTATAAAAAAAACATAAAACTCGTGTATCTCTTTTAATCCTATATATATGCTTAAAAAAGAGTATTTATATAACAAATTAAAGCTAGCATACAATATTACAATAATATATAGTTTAAATTTTATAATCTACAAGTGCATTCCGTAAATAAATCTATAAATATTGCTCCCAAAAATTCCACGAAGCATAAGATTTGTAGATCTCACATAACTTGCATTAGCTCGTCCTTTTATAGTCACATAAATTACAATAGTACAGAACGTGCTCTCAGGAGTATTAAAATGTCTAGATGTAAGTAATCCACGATTTAATGATTATTCCCACGGTACCCACTGGCGAATAAATATGCTTTTCAATTATATTTATAAGTATGCCTATGATAATTTTCATTTTACGTACTTTTGGCTTGAAGTGTGTGTGAAATATTTCAAATGATTGCATATAATGAGTTCACATTTTGTTGAATTTAAAATAATAATATAATTAAAAAAATAAACATTTTGAAACAATTTCTTTACTTTATGTACCAGTAAGTATATTTTCTACGTATATATATATATATATATAAATATATATTTCGAAAACATGTAAAATCTTTAAACACTGGGTCAGGATGGCATACCCTTCCCACACAACTAAACTTTCAGTATTGAGAGGTGTACTTTGCTCAAAAGTGATGTGTTTGCAGGCTGTTCCGTGAGTTTATTTAACTTTATGAATATACCATAATCATAATAAAAATACTATTACCATTCTGGATTTTTTTCATTTAGCCTATAAATTTATAAAAACTAAATGAGAAAACTCAATTCCAAGCACTGTGGGAATCGGATTGAAATGTCAAAGTATGTTGTAGGTAGTCACTAATAAATTAGAAGTATAATGTTGTAAAAGTAAAGAGAGACTACCCTCGTAATAAAATTGCATATCATGTATGGTGTAAACAAGGCAATAAAGAAGTCTTAGCATACGTGACGTTTTACTTAAACTATAAAACAATATAACATGGTGTCAAGTGTGGTAAATTCGTGGTAAATTTGTGGTAAATAAGGACTTGAAGTAATGAGAAGTTGAATGAAAGTAAATAAATCAGTTTCGTATTATTGTCTATAATAAAACTGGTAAGCAATGCCTTATAGTAAAGAGGAAAGTATGACGTATGCTTCGTTACAACAACCGCTGCCACTAGCACAGGAGGGCAACTTGGCAACGAATTGGCGAGAGTGGAAATCAGCATTTGACTATTTCCTAATTGCTTCGGGAAGAGAAACGGCATCTTCTAGAGAGAAGTGTGCATTATTTATGCATGTTATCGGCAAACAAGGACGTGAAATATATGAGGAGCTTGACATCAGTGAAGTGGAAAGTCATGACTACAACACATTGTGTCAAAAGTTTAATGAGCACTGTGACCCAAAAACAAATATTAATTATGAAAGGCATGTATTTTTTGAAAGTTATCAAAATGAACAAAACTTCGAAAAGTTTTTGGGATCTCTGAAAATAAAAGCTAAAAATTGTGAATTTGGATCTTTAAAAAACAGTCTTATTTTGACACAGCTGATTCGTGGCCTGAACGATGGGCAAATGAGAGAAAAACTTTTGTCTAAAGCGACCCTAACGCTAGAAGAGGCAAGTGGATGGTGCAGAGCAGCAGAAAGGGCTGGCGAGCAAGCAGCAGCGTGCAGTTCACGACAAACATGTGTAAGTAATACCGTGGAATACATGCAGTCAAGATACAAGCGCATGCCGAACAAAACCACATTGAGGAATGTGAGCAATCCTATACGTGATCAAGACCGTCAGCGAACTACTCATGATTTTCGTTATAAACGCGACGAGAAATCGATGAACGTTGGCTATCATACTAGGAATAAATTACGGGGTAATAATAACAATTGCAATAAGTGTAATTTAGGACATGGTGTTCGTGTTAAGTGCCCGGCCTATGCAGTAAAATGTTACCGATGTGATAAAGTAGGTCATTATGCAAAGTGTTGTCGCGCGCGTTTTGCACGGGAAGTGTTGGACGCTGACGGCACGGGTAATGGTATTCATGATGAGGAGGATTGTAGTGAGCACAGTGATGTAGACAATGGTGAGTTGTTAATGTATAATATATCTATCGAGGCTTCAGATAACTCTCGAGAGTCATGGTATTCTAATATTAAAGTAAATGGAGTAATTGTAAAGTTTAAGTTAGATAGTGGCGCAGACGCTTCGGTTATGTCGCTAAATTGTTACCAAAAAGCTGGCTTTGATATAAAAAAATTAAAAAAATGTAATATTGTTTTACGAGAAATAAGTAAGAAAAGATTACCTGTTGTTGGTTATTTTAAGGCTCTACTTCAAAGTAATAAATACAGCATTTTTCAAAATGTTTATGTATTGAATGTAAATTGCAATAACTTATTGAGTTTGAAGGCATGTGTTAGTTTAAAATTGTTAACCAGAATCAATAATTTAACACTGAGTAATGTAAATATTGATGAGGATGTATTTGAGGGTCTAGGTTGTTTGCCTTTTTCATGTAAAATTATCACAGATCCAAAGGTTCCGCCGGTAGTAAATGGAGTACGAAAAATACCAATAAAATTGCGTCCTAGATTGAAAGAAGAGTTAAATAAAATGGAAGAGCTTGGTGTTATTAAAAAAGAAGAGGGCCCGACTGACTGGGTTTCCAATATTGTTGTTATTGAAAAACCTGACAGGTCCTTGCGTATTTGTTTGGATCCTAAAAACTTGAATAAGGCGGTAAAACGGAGTCACTTTCAGTTGCCAACATTGGAAGACATTACGAGTAATTTGTCTGGAGCAAAAGTGTTTTCAAAATGTGATGCAAAAAAGGGTTTTTATATGATGCGTTTGGACGAGGATAGTTCTAAGCTATGTACGTTCTCTACACCGTATGGTCGATATCGTTTCTTGAGAATGCCATTTGGAATTTCTTGTGCGCCTGAAATGTTCCATAATGAAATGTGTAAAATATTTAAAATGGTGGGAGTGGAAGTGTTTTGTGACGATTTGCTGATTTGGGGTCAAAATCAAAAAGAACATGACGATAGATTAGCGGAGGTTATACGTAGAGCAAAAGAAAATGGTGTCAAATTCAACAAACAAAAATGTGTGTTTGGTGCAAAACAAATAACGTTTATGGGGCATACGTTTGATGAAAATGGTATTAGACCAAATAATACTAGAATAGAGGCAATTTTAAAAATGGCAACACCAACATGTAGAAAGGGGGTTGAACGGTTTTTGGGAATTACTAATTATTTGTCGAGGTTCATTCCAAAATATTCAAAGATATCAGCCCCATTAAGAGAACTATTAAATAAAAAAATAGAGTTTGAGTGGCTTCAAGTACATGAACAGGCTTTTAATCTCCTCAAATCAAAAATAAGCAGTGCCCCGGTTTTGAATTATTATTCGCCAAAGAAGCCAATCACAGTATCAGTCGATGCAAGCTCACACGGCCTTGGAGCGTGTCTTCTTCAAGAGGGGCGGCCGGTCGCATACGCATCGCGCACCCTCACACCTACAGAGACGCGTTGGGCGCAAATCGAAAAGGAGTTACTTGCTGTGGTTTTTGGATGTACACGATTCCATTTTTACATTTATGGACATAGTAATGTGACTGTGGAAAGTGACCACAAGCCGCTCGAAGCTATATTTAAGAAGCCGCTGAATGATACTCCAGCACGACTTCAACGTTTGCTATTGAAATTGCAACACTACCCTATTAATTTACAGTATAAACCAGGAAAATTACTATTTATAGCAGATACTCTATCGAGATCGGCTACGCAAAAGGGCCAAGATGATTTAAGCGACAAGGTTATGATACACGAGAATATGACGTTTGAAAACGTTGAAGCGTCGATGGATATGTTGCAGAGAATAAAAAAGGAAACTCACAACGATCCAGTCATGATAGCACTGGGGGAGTATTATCAAAAAGGATGGCCTTTTAATAAAAAGCAAGTCTCTGAACTTGTAAAACCCTACTGGAATGTACACAATGAGTTACATATGATTAGAGGAGTCTTATTTAGAAATAATCGTATTGTTATACCCCTGTCCTTACGGAAAGAAATGCTGCGCCGTATACACGAAGGGCATTTAGGGGTTGAAAAATGTCAACGTCGTGCACGCGATGTAATGTGGTGGCCGGGTATGTCGGCAGATATTACGTGTGTTGTGCAGGGGTGTGATACGTGCCAGCGACATCAAGCCGCTGCGCCGCGCCAGCCTCTTGCGCCGCATCCAGTGCCTACACTACCTTGGGAACATTTAGCTGCTGACATTTTTGAGTTCGGAGGAAAACAGTATCTATTGATAGTTGATTATTATTCTAAATTTGTAGAAATCTCTTTACTAACGAATTTACAAAGCAAGACAGTAATTAATGTTATGAAGGGCATATTCAGTAGATTTGGCATACCTAAAAAGATTGTGACTGACAACGGGACACAGTTCACATCAGATGATTTTAAAATTTTTAGTAAGGCTTGGGGGTTTGAACATGTTACCAGCTCTCCTCATTACCCAAGATCCAATGGACTCGCGGAGAGAAACGTTAGGACCGTAAAATCAATATTAATTAAGTCACACGAAACAGGTGAAGATTGGCAACTGGCGCTTCTTAATTTTAGGAATACACCAATTACCGGAGAGAAGTATTCGCCTGCTCAGCTCTTAATGAGCCGTAGGCTTAATACTAGGTTACCTGTTCACCAAGATGTTCTACGTCCGAAAACCGTCAACGCTCGCTTAGTAAAGGAAAATCGATTAAAGAAATGTGATAAAGTAAAAGAGTATTATAACAAGGGTACTAAACCATTAACATCACTAAAACCGGGTGAAACGGTACGAATGAGGGATAAAAAAACATGGGAAAAAGCTAAAGTTATGGCTAGAGCACGTGGTGAGCGTTCGTATTGGCTAGAAACTAAAAATGGACGAGTTTTGCGCCGTAACAGGCAGCATATTATGAAGTTACCGACCAAATTAACGGCGTTGGATCGTCGCTGTAAGGCAAAAACACATCAAAGAAATGTGAGTAAGCAATTAGACTGGGATGATTTCAAAGATACTGAGACAAATTCACTACCGCGCGGAACTAGCGAACGATCGCCACCGCCAGTGAATGAGCGGTTTTCGCCCATATATATCACTCGAAGTGGGAGAGTTGTTCGCCGTCCAGAACGCTTTGAGATTAATAATTAATGGTAAAACATCATAGTTATATTAATGGCATATCTGCTGTGACAGATATATTAATTCATTATGCCAACTAAAAAAAAAAAAAAATTACTGTTACGTTATTTTATTATACGATTTTATTACATGAAGTATCCTATCTTAGTTTTCTATTATTATTATTAAATATTACATGATTTTTAGGCTTCCTAATTCTAGAGTTAGGTATATAATATATTTTTATTTTGCACACAGTACAATTACATTTCAATATAATAATTAGAACAAATCATCAAATAATTATCATTTCAATAATTTTCTTTAACAATGAAGTTACATTAAGGTGATTTTTTTGTTATTTCCATGAAATTGTATCGAAGCATGGTTACAATATTTATAAATAAATAAAACAAAAACAAGAATGTGGTCGAGTTTGTAACATTATTTCTTCAGTATTAACAAGGAAGAAATTGATTATTCACAGTTTGCAATGTAACAATGATTGGTCCATAGTTATAAGCAATGTGTTAAAAGTCGCATGCAAAACTTATCATAACACATTAATATAAGGGGAAAATGAAGGTTATAATGAAGACATATCCTAGTATCATATGTCTTCTCCAGATAATATTTATTATGTAACTATATAATAATTGTGTATTATTTGCTAATACTTTTTCTTGATAATAAAAGGGAGATGTTGTAGGTAGTCACTAATAAATTAGAAGTATAATGTTGTAAAAGTAAAGAGAGACTACCCTCGTAATAAAATTGCATATCATGTATGGTGTAAACAAGGCAATAAAGAAGTCTTAGCATACGTGACGTTTTACTTAAACTATAAAACAATATAACAGTTCTACGCAATTTATTAACTATTTTTTTTTCTAACAACATGTAACTTTATTTGGCTGAGTAATATCGGTGTATTTTTCTTCAAACTTCATATAATTTTTGTATTATCTAGTCCTAACAACAATACTGCATTTTTTATATGTTTAGTTCATAGAAAACTAAATAAAAAATACGATAGATTGCTTCAAAAATATTCTAGCATTTAGTTCGTATCATTAACAAGTAAGTTCCTAACCTAAAAAAAATCTACTTTTTACGTGACAAATTCCTCGTGAATACCCAGACGCACTAGGCAGAACGGGTTATTTACTTGTCCTACCGACTAAAACCCCACGGTGGTCCTTCTCATTATTGGGTAACGAGATCCTCTTACCTACCACCATGTTGTCGGTTTTTTGTTTTCCCGTGGGTTTTACGACCCGCGAACCAAAGCTTCTAACGCTTGCGGTGCTGTCTCACTGCCGATAAGTAGTATCAAACAGTAATATGAAAAAGTATGACTGACATTAAAATGTAGAGAAGCCACAAAAAAGTTAAAAAAATCTTATTACAAGTTTAAGAAGTGTCAGCGTAGCGGCAGTAATTTAATGGAAAATGGGAAATATATAATTTCATTATCGATAATCTAGTTTTTATCTTTTGTAACACAACTACAATAGTTACTCTTTAGTGAGATATCAATCCTTATCAACCTGACATTTTTATTTGCTGACTATCTGTCCGACGAACTCAGCAGTGAAACCGACATTAAATAGAATTAGGATATTTAAAAAAATATAGGTCACGCTTTCGCAAAGCTTTATGTACCACCTAGTGGTGTCAGATCGAATAGGCTCGATTAATAATACACTTCAAGAAATGGTTAATATATTCTTTATAATTTAAATGAATATTTTAATACCAAACATTAATTTATTTAAAGTTTTTATTTCTTTATTATTGCATTCCCGATATGGGTAAACTGTGTAATATTTATAAACAATGTCACCCGCAAATTGTACATACACAGCGTATTGTCAATAAATATTCTGATTCAGATTCTGAATTAAAAGGTGGATGCGTAGTCACCCCTAAGAACTAAGATGGAATGCCTCGTTTCCAGTAAAAAGGGTCTCCAATTCTCTACTCTTATAATACGAAACACAGCAACACGAGCTGCTATTTTACGCTGGTATTCTGTAAGAGCGTGCTCCTCCCCCGGTCGAGTCGACCCATTCGTTCTACAACCATAATATAGCTGCAGTATGACTGCATTACGTGATTATATTACGTGGTAGAGCCATACTGCAGCTATATTAGTAGTATAGTTGTAGCACGAATGGGTCGGCTCGACCGGGGAAGGACCACGCTCTCACAGAATACCAGCGTAAAATAGCAGCTTAACGCTGCTGTGTTTCGTATGGTGAGTGTAGAGAACCGGAGACCCTATTTACTGGAAAAGAAGCATTACATCTTAGTCCTCAGGGGTGACAACTCATCTGCATTTTGAATCGTAATCGAGAATAGATGTAGATGTCTATGGGTCACAGTAACCACTTACCATCAGGTGGACTGTGTGCTCGTTTGTCACCCTATACTATAAAAAACCATGTGTAAGACTACTATTGTTTTGTTTTACCGCATTGTACGTTTTAACAGTAGTCAAGTAGCGATCAAAAACGAGTGTTTGTTTTTGTATAATTAGTTTATACAGCTAAATTACTTTGATCGTGTCTGACAGGTAGGCGTATTATCAAATTATTACATGTTCTTGTGATTCGTGTTTATTACTATGTTGTACCTTTGTAATGGTTTCTGTCGAAATATTTATCTTTCCAGCTACAAATAATCTTAATACAAATTTGGATTCCGACAAATATTTGATTATATTATTGGCCATGTTTTGGTTTTTGTTACTTACGAAATCGATTATCTCAATCAACTATAATTTAATTCAAGCTTGCACAACTTGTGCTCACACAATGAAATATTTTAGTGTTTAACATGGCAGAGGCAGTGGACTGTCACGTACTGATGATTAAAAAGGATAATCTCTGTTAACATTTTAACAGTTTACAAAAATTGCTATTTCGCACGACTTGTTTAAAAATCTTTATTATGGATTACAATTTCAAATATAAAATATTCCTTCCTAATTAACAACCTGCCCAAAGATAAGACCCACAGCTGCTGGCCACCGGTGACTTCTGAGATGACGATGAGCAATTCAGCCTGTCGCTTTGCTTTAGTGCATGCAGGATTTGGCGATTCCTTACGATATTTTCCACGCCCAAACACGTGGCACTTAAATCAGCACTTAAAATTGCAATTATCTATTTCATTGGCGCCTGTGGGGATTGAACCGGATTACTCGCATACTGTAAAATTTACATAAGCGCATTATCTCTTAAAAATGTATGTCATAAGTACGGCAGGGAAATATAATATTTTGTTTGTTTTTCGATATAAAGACTAAGAGAATTAATCTCAATTAACTTCCTTTTTCTAAATCTATCCTGTATATAATATCATATTATTTAATTACTTGAATTCGTCTTATAATCGTCACCTGACGTTAATTACCGACGAGAATGTTTACCATTTCTTCGTTCTAGTTCACCTTCTGAAAAATACTGTTCAATTTTAAAAGAAAATTGTAAAAGTTGTGACGTAAGACTGACTGGCCATTTCTATGTTAATACGCATCTCGACTCGCGCAGTTCTAACCTTAGGACCATTCCCAAAACGAATATTCAAATTAAGTGTGAATTTTATGTTAATATTCTTACTTTATCTTCTACCTGCAATGATTTGCGTCCCGATTAATAGGTAATTTAACCTGGAAAAATTTTGTAGCTTTACGCTTACTAACGCAATAGTTTTTACTATTTCAATTCATTAAAAACAGTCGCAGTCGAGTTTAATTTCAATACTGCTGCAAGATAATATATTTAAATGGTTAAGTACTGTTTTTAGCCCTTCGACCGTTTTTTCGGACCGATATCACTTAGTAAAGAAGAAGTACTACAAGTAAAGAGCGTAAGAGCGTACTCTTTTCTAGAAGCTGGCATCGCACCTTCAGCACCTATTGATGTGGGTGTTTGAGGGCGGCAAGTTTGTTTTCCCCGTTCTTGTATATTATATAAAAAATATAATATACAAGAAAAGAAAGAAAAAGTATAATATATAAAAAAGGAAAGGATTTGTGTCTCAAATAGGTTATCCACAACACAACACAACATAAAATTCACTTTCTATTTCAATTTATATTCCATATCTATTATTTAGTTAAAAAAAATAAAAACAATCAATAAATTCTCTTTTATTATAATAAATGATGACTATACATATCAGACGGACAGTAGTTTATATATAAAGAACAAGTGGTAAAATGAATAAAAAATTGTACAATCAACCAATGCAGTTGAGGTCAATTAAATATGCACTATTACGAATAACTCAAAAACTACTGGTAAGATTTTCTCAAATTTATATGGAACTACATGAAAAGCATCAGCTTTCAAAAAAAGAATCAACAAAATCGGTTCACATAAAAAAGGTTCGAAGGTAACATACAGGTTAAAAAATACAATCGAATTAAGAACCTCCTTCTTTTTTTGAAGTCGGTTGAAAATAAAAATAATGGAATTAATTAATGTATATTACACGTGCGAATAATGATTGGGATTAGGTGGCTTATCGATGGATGGTGACTTGTACTGTCAGCATAAACAGTACCTTAAAAGAAAACAGTGAAAATAACGTTGTATAATTATATTATAAACTAGCTGTGCCCGCGGCGTAGCTCGCGAATATAGGTTTTACTTAAAGAATTTGACGTTTAGGGTAAGAGAATATTAACCGATTTATATCATTACTGTATGAATAAGTGGTAACAAAATAAATCGATATTCTCAAAGTTCTAAGTCGTTTATGATAGAGCTTCTGTGTAAACGACGATAGAAGTAGACTTAGCCGGGGCGTACAGAAAAAGGTTACGGGGACTACTAACGCGAGAAAAAGCAATATAGAGCTGGCCATGTGCAAAACAATCAGTACTGACGCGTGAAGTTTGACCTTGCGCTTTATTTACGATCGTCGCATAACACACGCTGAGTGGGAAACACACTTAAAATAGGGATGTTAGATGATCATCGATGTTAAAAATTAAAACTTTGATGTTTTAACATCGA